GATTGTGCGTCGTCGGTGCTGGAGTCTCATCCGAGCGCGGTGTTTCTCCAACATCTTGATTGGCCTCCCCTCCGAGTCGCGGCTCGCGAGGAACATCAACCTCTGTTCCTCGGTCGCGTACTCCATCGGGGGGAGACCGGAAATCACCGCCGCAGCGTTGTGCGCCACAGTCCGGTAGGCCCTACATATCCTCGCGGCGATCGGGCGAATTGCCCGCGCCATACCGGCGCGGGCACGCCTCAATGCCGCGAGCCTTGGAGCCCAAATAGGGGCCCCGTAGAGCACCACCGACTTGACTACGTTGGCGTACAACCTACGCACCTTGTCATCCGGGCCGCCCAGGTTGGGGAGGAGGCGGCCCAACTGGGTCGCTCGCGCTCTCGCCCGGTTAGCGGCCGCGGCAAGGTGGCTCTCGAACCTCCATCGGTCGTCCAGGATCAACCCGAGGTACCTCATTTCCCGGGTGATCCTGACGAGGGTTGTATCCACAAGCAGGGACAGCCCCTCGGGTGGCTTGCCGCGTGCTCCAACGTGGAACACAACGGCCTCGGTTTTGCCGAGTGCCACCTCGAGGCCCAGCCTGCGGATAGAGCTAACCACCGCTCCCGCTGCCACTCTCCCCCTGGAGAGGGCCTCCCCCCAATCGCTACCCCCGGCCATCACTAGAGTATCGTCTGCGTAGCAGACGACGTGACAGTCAGGGGGGAGGGGAGTCCGCAGCACGGGGTCGTACCCCACGTTCCACAATAATGGTCCTAGGACGGACCCTTGGGGTACTCCCTGGCGCAGTTCCGTCGACGCTCGCCGCCTTGGTCGATATACTCGACCCACCTGTCCCTTAAGTAGTCGCCCACGACCCGCTGGAGATACAATGGTATCCCCAGGTGTCGGAGCGACTTCTTGATCATTTCCCAGGGGAGGGTGTTGAATGCGTTGGAGATATCCAACGACACTGCTAACATCATTCCCCCCCGGGAAGTCACCTCGTCCGAGAGGGCCTGGACGCGACTAATCGCATCCATTGTCGATAGGCCCTCTCGGAATCCGTATTGGGCCCCGTTGACATTGGGGCCCACGTGGGACAGGTGCTGGACGATCCGGCTCGCAATAATACACTCAAAGAACTTGCCGGATTCGTCCAGAAGGCATATCGGACGATACGCCGACGGCACGGATGCGTCCTTCCCCTCTTTCTGGAGGAGCACCAACGTGGCGCTCTTCCACTGCGGGGGAAAAGACCCTCTCCGGAGGCACGCGCTATAGAGGCGCGCGTAGTTCTCTGCGAGGACGCCTATGGCCAGGGCGTGGACCTTCTTGTGAAGGCCGTCGGGACCAGGGGCCGTGTTGCCCCTTAGTCCCCTCTTGACGGCCTTCCGGAGTTCATCCGGCTGGACGTCGAGGGAGTCGTCCCAGTCCGGGGATTCTTCCCCAGTCAGTGAGGGTGGGCCCTCCTCCCCGTCATCGTCGGGGAAGAGGGTGCGCACCACCCTCTGGACGAATCCCGCGTCCAGCCGCTCCGTTAGAGGGGGCGCCCATGGCCTCAACTTATTGAGGACCATCCTATATGGGCGCCCCCACGGATCTTCATTTAGGGAGTCGATGAACTCCGTCCACGCCCGGCCCTTAGCCTTCTTGATGGCTTTGCGGAGGGCCACCTTGGCCGCCAGGTAGCCCTCCCTTGCCCTTTCGGCCGCCTGCCCGCCCTTGCGCGCGTGGCGGGTGGATACTCGCTGCTGGTGGACGGCTTGCCGGCGTAGCTCGGCAATTTCTTCCGTCCACCAGTGGACCGCCCGCCGAGGCCGAGTTTTCGATCGGGGCATAGCGGCGTTACACGCCGCCGCTAATGCTGTCCCGATCCACTCGGCCTCTTGTTGGGGGTCCGTATCGCGGGTCTCGGGGACAGCCCCCCGGACCCAGCAGGCAGCCTCAAGGGAGGCCGTCAGGGCGTCCTCGCAGAGCCTCTTAATGGTCCATCGCGGTCGTGTCTCTCGGCGGCGCCCGAGAGACGTGAGAGCACCGAGCTCCACCGAAATCCAACGGTGGTCCGATAACGCGAGCCCGGCGTCCCCGGTCACCCTCCACCCGGTGACATGGCGCGCCGCGGAGGGGGTAGCCCATGTCAAATCGACGATGGACTCCCCCTGCGCGCGCACGCAGGTGGAGACCCGGCCCCGATTTAACAGGACCAGGCCGAGCGCCGCTACCCAATTCTCCAGAGCCCTTCCTCTGGCATTGGTTCGCCGGGAACCCCACGCCACGTTGTGGGCGTTAAAGTCCCCGGCGACGAGGACCGGCTCACGGCCGAACCGTCTGACCGTCTGTTCGACGACGGCCAGCCAGTCCTCGTAGAGGGAGACGTTATCTGGGCGGAGATACACTCCCACGACCACGATGGGCTCCCAACGCACGGCGACGTGTCTGTCGCCGCGCTCCAATGCGGTCGTGGTGGGAGAGCCCTGCCACGACCGCCAACATATCGCCGCCGTTCGCTCCAACCGCGTCCCCAGCCACTCAGGGTGGTCCGGGGGAACGCGGCCGGGCTCGGCAATTACTGCCAGGGTGTGACCACTCTCCCGGATGTCCTGCATCAGCAGGTCTTGCGCCCTGGGAGAGCGGTTCACATTAGCCTGAGTTAGGCCGTATCCCCTTAGCCCAGGCGTAGGGAGTCCCGGCATTACGGGGTCTTACCCCCCTCCGTCCGGGGGGATGGATCCACGTCCATGGCCTCCGTGGGGTCTGTCACCCCATCGCTTGCGCCTTTCTCTTAGAGCGGGTGAGGCGCTGCATGAGGGGGGGCTGTTCCCCCTCCTGCACGCCTCTCCTCGCCACCTCCACCTCCATCGCGTCGGTAGGCCTCGACGGTCCGGCCTCCTGGGAAGCCCCTGTTCGCGACCCCTGCCGCGGGCCAGGTGCCCCCCCCCCCCTTTATTTTTCTTTGGGAGCATTGCTTAGCTCCCAAAGTATGCCCTGCCGGCCTCCCCAGGTCCACGCAAAGTGGGCATTTCTGGGGAGCCCGGCAGTCCCGGGAGGTGTGCCCGGTGCCCGCGCATTGGTAGCACCTCCCCGACCTGTCCACTTCGCTGGGGCAGTTCCCGCGCGTGTGTCCCCCCTCGAGGCACTTGAAGCACCTCATCGGGCGCACCTTGAGGAGATCCACTTTCGCGCGGGACCACCCCACCATTAAGTGGCCCGTCTGTGCCACCTTCTTCGCTGCCGCCAGGGGGAGGCGGAGCCACATGCTCCCCGCTCCCCTGTCGGCCTGCTGTATCCCCTTGTGCTGCACGCACAGGGGATCGCACTGGGCCCCCGCCGAAACGGCGGCCACCACCTCCTCCGTCCTAATGGAGAGCTCTAGCCCCCTCACCCTGACTTCGCCTGTTTTAACAGGCCGGTCAACCCGCACGCCTTCTTTGCCCTGTATGGCCTCCCTTATCTTCGTCGCGAGCTGATCGGCCTTATCCGAGTGTCCCTCCCCGGACACCTCAAAGATGGTGGCACCGGTGGCCGCTTGCCTGGTGTTTATGCGACCACCGATGCCCAACGCCCCTATGTCCACCCTGGCGCGGACCTCGGCCACCACCTTGGCGTATTGCCCTTGCGGGCACGTCAGGGCGACGGCCGACGTGCGCGGCACCCTCCTTTTCGGGGCCTTTTTCCCAGTCCCTCCCCCCTGTTGTCCCTTTCCAATGGGCTTCTGGGGGGGAGCCTGGCGGGTCCCTGTAGCGGCCTTGGCCGCTTTGGTTGCCGCCTGCTTCGCCTTGCGGCCTAGGACCTCTGTCCACGGCTGCTCAATCGCCGTGGAGGGTCCGGGCGTAGGGGTAGCAGGAGTTGCCACCCGTGCGCCTGTCTCCTTTCCTCCCTTTTGTGCGGGGGCCTTACCCTTCCCTTTTTGTGGTTGGGTGTTCCCTTGCGCACCTTTGGGAGGGGCAGAGGAGGCGGTAGAATTTTAGGGGCTTTGTGTGCCCCCCTTGTCTCCCTTTTTCTTTCCCTTTATCTCCCGCTTCCCCTCCTCCTCTTTCCGTGCTCTTGAATCGGCGCCGGGAACCGGGCCCTCCCTATCGGCCGCCCTTTCCCCCCTTACGGGGTGGGGAGGTAGCCGCGGGAGCGTCGTTACGGGCCCCAGCGCCGATTGCGTCGGCTATCATCTTTCTCATATCAAGGAGCTGCCGACTCATGCTTTCCTGGCATGCGTCGACAGCCTCCTTGATTCTTCTTGCCACCATCACCTCGAGTTCCCTCTCGCTCGTCGGCATGGGGTTCTTTGTCGATCGGGCGCGGTTTAGTGGTGCCGGATGGGTGTGGTCCTCCTCCGACGAGGAGGAAGAGGGGAGGGGGATCGTCATTCCTCCCCTCCGTAGGGGAATTTCTTCTCCTCCCCGTCTTTGTGGTCTCATCCACCTCCCGGCGGGGGGGTGGGCCTGCCGCCTTGCGGCATTGGTGGTGTCGGCCACCACCACCAGACCTCCCCTTTCCGCCTCCGTCAGGTCCAACCGCCCCCCCTGGCAGCCAGGGCAGGGGCCATTGCATGGACCCTCATGTCCTCTGATGAGAGTCGCACCGCCTCCGGGGGTGTTGTGTCCATCGCTCCCTCCCCTTCCTCTCCCGCAGGAGGCAAGAGCGGGGGGCCCCGGTCCCTTGGGAGAGGGGAGGAGGGGATCTATTTCCCCTACTCTCCCTCTCTTTTCGGAGGAGCTCCAATTCCCTGCGTAGGGCTTTGTTCTCCTCCTCGAGCCTCTCCCCCTGGGCTGCGTTGGCCCTTGTATAGAGGGCATCCGCCGCCATTTGTACGAAGAGGGCCCCGTCCCTCAGCACCTCGACGAAAGAACCCTTCAGGTTCCTCGAGGAAGCAGCCACGTTGTCGATCCCTTGGGCCGTTTCCAACAACCGTGCCACCAAGTCACTGGAGGGGAGGTTGGGAACCATTTCCCGTAGCTCCTCCTCCCGCTTTTTCCTGGCGGCAGGGTATTCTCTGGGGTTATAGTTCCCCTCTAGGATCGCTTTATATTCGCGGATCTGTCGTTTCAGATCCTCGAGTTCTCGGCGCGCCTCCCGCCTGGCCGCTAACTCAACCCCCTCGCCAGTAACCACCGGCCTTCCAAGTCCTCTGGCAGGGGGCCGATTTCTAACGGCAACTACCTTCCGCCGCTTTGAGCTTCGGCTGGAGCTCTTTCCTCTCTTCGTCGCTCCGGACGCGGACCTGTGCGATTTCCCGCTCGCGCCCGAGTCCTGGGCCGACATTGAGGCACTCTCCACCTCGCTGCCGACCCCGATGGTGGCGGCCGACGAAGAACCCTCCGCCCAATCCGCGATCACATCTCGCACCGTCCCCCCTGCCGGCGGGGGCGAGAGTGCGCTGCTGCGGAGGTTCACGTAGCAGTCCAGCCGAATTCCGTGTAACTCATTATCGTCGGCATCGGTCCCGGCCCGACCCGGGCTCCCCGCTCTTTTAGAGCTTAGGGGGCCGGGCCTGCGCCTCGTTCCCGACGTCGACGGTTCTCCTTCTCCCTCCTTCCCTTTCTGAGTGTGGGGGTGCATCTTGGTTAGTCCCACTTTCCCGTGGCGGCTCCCCGGTCAAGGAATGCCCTCCTCCCCCAATACTGGGGGAGGCCCCGAGTTCACCCGGGGGACCGGATATGGCACGGGCCGGGGGGAATTCCGCACCCCGGCACAGGCCTCCAGCCCCCTACTCACCCCTCCGCTCACTGCGAGAGGGGTTTTCAGGGGTCTCCGTCCTCCGACAAACGGAGCACCGCCACGGGCGCCGCCACGCGGGGGGACCCGCGGATGAACGAAGGCGTCGGAAGCAACCCCCCTCCCTTCGCCCCGTCCGCCGCGGCGACCGGCATGTGTGCGTCCTAAGCCGCCTCGGCAACCTCCGCCCGTTGCGCGTGGGCGATACGCACGGGCTGAAGCGGAGGCCCCTTGGCTAGGCACAACAGGGGACGTGACTCCCCTGAAGGACCCATCGTCCGAGGGCGCCGGGCCCCGCCCGGGAAACGTCCCGGCGGCCCCGGTCCCCCCGCCACCGACCCGCCGGACCCCGACCAGGGAAACGTCCCAGCGGCTCCGACGGGCCCC